AAATCGCACGTAGAGACGCGGTTCATAAGGCTGGTGTCAACACCTATCGACGGTGTGGAACTTCGAATCAATTCACATATCTCATCTTGATTAAATGCTTATGTACCGTTGTCCTGGGTATGTTAGTGGCATCCGCTATCTCGCACACACTATATCGCGAATTTTCAGCGAGCATACCTTTGACAAGGTCCGCATCCGTCGTTGTTGGACGGCCGCTGCGGTCTTCGTTTTTCAAATCAAAATTGCCAGCTCTAAATCTCTCAAATCAATTGCGGACTGTCCTAATAGTCGTAGAACCATCACTGTAAATGGTACAAATCTCGTTTGCAGTGTCCTTTGCCCTATCACTTTTTTTAAAGCAATAAAGCATAACATGCCGCAAATGCTTATTTTGGCTATCCATATCGAACGGCGCAGAAAAAATTTGATAAGGAACTTTGTCACCAACGAAACATACTCTAAAAGAGCTCTGGGACGACTGCAACCGATACCCTAAACAGCCAAGAGATAAGCCTACGTGTTTATATAAACACAGCCAGTTAAAGTCATTCGTAGCGCGGCGCGGAAGGAACTTATGGGACACCCTAATAGAATGTGTCGTCATGGACACCCCGCACGAGGAAGCGCAGTTTGCCGAGCGCGAGTCGTTTGAAGATAACTATTACGCGATCATGTCCAAGGCTGAGACACTCCTTTCGAGAGCTCGCGGTAACACAGTCACCGCGACCAATGCACAACATAGCGCCACGCCTTCGCCTTCCGACACTTTCCTCGCGGTTCGTCTGCCTACCATAAAATTGCCCACGTTCAAAGGGGACTGTGAGCAATGGCTCCGTTTTCGTGACACCTTCACTTCGCTGGTTCACGATTCGGATAAATTAAATGACATCGATCGTTTTAATTATTTAACGTCCGCCTTATCGGGAGCCGCTGCTCGCGTCATAGAATCTTACAGCGTGTCGGCAAGTAACTATAAATTAGCTTGGGTGCGGTTAAGGGAAAAATACGACAACCCCAGATTGCTCGTGAACCATCGCCTAAACTCTCTTCTAGATTTAGAACAACTTAGAAAGCCGTGTAGTAAGGGGCTTAGTGAGTTTACTGACACCGCTATCAACAACATCCGCGCCCTCGAATCACTTCTTACCCCCGAGCAATCCCGTGACGCACTTATTAGCAAGTACCTGGCGAAAAAGCTGGACCCGATTTCCCTTGACGAGTGGGACAAGCGCTGTATGCATTCAAGCGAGTCGCCCACTCTCAAGGAATTCGCAAATTTCTTGGAGCAGAGGTCGCAATATCTCGAGCGTAGGGAGTCGAACCAATCGGTCATGGGCAATGTAGGTTCTGACCGCCCAAAAACCACCCCACGGCGGCAAGGGGGTTTTAAGCCTTTCGTCCCCGCGACCCACGTCGCGAATCAGACAGAAAAATGTGGGTTATGTGACGGGACCCACGTGATCAGCCACTGTCCCAGATTCTTGGCTATGTCCGTCGCAAAAAGGCACGGAACTGTAAAGGGTTCGCACCTACGTTTTAACTGCTTGGCGCCGAATCATAGCGCAAGGACTTGTACCTGTTCGAAATGCCGAAAGTGCGGTAACAACCACAAAGAAACAGCTTCTGCAGCTCAGGAGAGTTTACCCCAGGAGGAAATTCCCGAGTCATCCACCGCCCATGTCTCGCAGTCACACGCCGCCAACGTGTTGACTGAATGCACTGTCCTGTCTACGGCGTTGGTTCTAATAGCCGACAGCAAGGGGAAGTACCACGAGTGTAGGGCTCTGTTAGACGTAGATTCTCAGGCCAATTTCATGACCATCGCGTTTTGCGAGCGCATCGGATTGCCTCGTCGAGCCATCGATACAACGGTCGGTAGCTTAGGACTGACGAAGAATCCGATCCGATCTTCTGCTCAGGTAGCAATGAAATCGCGGGTAGGGAATTTTAACACTTAGACGACCGCACGCGCTACAGAGACCTGTACAGTTTCCACCGCGCTCGGGAAAGCCAAACTGCGCTGTCCACCGCGCATTTTTCTGAGGTAGCACGGACTGAAATACGCTATTTGAAATCAAAAACGTCCGAAAATTATTTATGCGATCAATTATATCTTACGGTAACAATTTCGTTCAACGATTTCACATATTGCATATTCAAAATTCGAATTTAAAAGTTTATAATAATTATTTTTTAATGGTTATTCAAAAAGTATAGTTAACAGAGTCAGAAAATTAAGGACAGTAAAGACGACGGATAAATAACGTAACTCGTAATTCGTAATAACGTAATTCGTCGATTAGTCTGATATGTGGGAACGATGGTGCTATTATTGTCGTCAACTTCACAATCACTTA